AATAACAACAATCACAGGACAAAACAAAACAAGTTTGAGATATTACAGTATGACAGTTATTTACCTCAAATCTACGTCATTAATGATAAAGAGCATAATTGTGGAAAATAAAATGTGATGAGATCATTCAAGATTGGAATGGATCTTGGCCTCCCTTCTAGCTTTAGGTCTATATTTCTCCTACATAAGATTCTTCAATGAATAATCTGCATTTGCTCTCTCTCTCTCTTTCTTACTGCCTATTTATTTCTCAACTTATAATTTATTGTTATGACTATTACTCTATTGACACTGGTATTTAACATGTCCTAATCATTTTTATAACATCAAATTTTAATAGTTTTAAGACTTTACCTTGCCTACTTTTATCATTGGGCATTTTGTTGTCATTTTGTTCTTCAAACTCTCCCTTCCTTCTCTTCTAGTTCTCTTGATACTTACTCATTTGATATTTTCTGATCACTCAGAATCCTTTCCAGGATCCTCTTACTCTTCTGTTAACATATAGTTTTAGTTTATGTTCTTTCCTCACATGTTTTCCATTCTCATTTTATACATTCTCTGTGGATAATTCCATGTACTCTCATCATTTTAACTAACATCTCCAGACTGGATTCTCAAATGTACAATTAAATCCCATCATTTTCTAGAATTCCAGTTATAGATGCTGTTAATCCGACCTAATGTTCCAAACAAATCTCCAGACTATAGTATCTTTAATATTGACCTCAGAGTTACATTTCCTGATGGACTACCCTACTTCATCAGCAATTCCACCATTCACATAGGCACCCAACTAGAAACCTTGAATTTGTCATAGATTCCTTTTCTATCCTGATCTTCACTCTCCCATATCCATTCATGCATAATTCATTGACTATCATTTAGAATATTTCACCAGTTCATTAGTTAATCAGTCTGACTCCAGTTTCATCTATTCAGATAGATTCTTTTTTATATTTATTTTTTTTAATTTTATTTTATTGTTTAAAGTAGTATTACAAATAGTAGTACAGTGGGGCCTTGACTTACAAGTGTCCCGACTAACGAGTTTTTTGAGATACCAGCTGTCTCTCCGCTGATTTTTTGCACTGAGTTGATAGAGTAATTTGAGTTAACGAGCTCCTTAACGAGCTCGGTCTCGGAATGAATTAAACTCGTAAGTTAAGGCCCCACTGTACATAAGTCTCCTTTTTTTCCTCATTGATTCTTTACATGCCCTAAATTGCCTAATGCAATATTCCAGTGCTGTCATTTCTCTGCTTTATCCTTTGAATGGTCCCTCATAGCATGACTTATATTCTTCATCTTTATGGTTTCCCAAATGTTCCATGCTGTCTTGTACCTCTGAGCATTTGCTGTACATTCACTAGTAGGCACTCATTTTCTTTTTCTTCTGAAATAACTTTTTTTTGTCCTTTAAGGCTCAACATGATAATTGCCTATTTTATAGAAATTGTCCCTTAATTCAATACCCCCTTTTCCTACATCCAAATTGAATTTAATACCCTTCATTTGTTTCACTACAATTTTGGGAATTCCTCATCTAAAGCATTTATTACTCTGTAATAAAAGTGTGTATTTTTGTGCTTATCTCCACAATTGGATTTTAGGGCTTTACTGGCATTAGAGGTAATTCATAATTGTATCCTCCTCATCAAACACAATGATGATATTGACCTCAGAGTTACATTTCCTGATGGACTACCCTACTTCATCAGCAATTCCACCATTCACATAGGCACCCAACTAGAAACCTTGAATTTGTCATAGATTCCTTTTCTATCCTGATCTTCACTCTCCCATATCCATTCATGCATAATTCATTGACTATCATTTAGGATATTTCACCAGTTCATTAGTTAATCAGTCTGACTCCAGTTTCATCTATTCAGATAGATTTTTTAAATATTTATTTATTTTTTTAAATTTTATTTTATTGTTTCAAGTACAGTATTACAAATAGTAGTACATATGTCTCCTTTTTCCCCCCATTGATTCTTTACATGCCCTAAATTGCCTAATGCAATATTCCAGTGCTGTCATTTCTCTGCTTTATCCTTTGAATGGTCCCTCATAGCATGACTTATATTCTTCATCTTTATGGTTTCCCAAATGTTCCATGCTGTCTTGTACCTCTGAGCATTTGCTGTACATTCACTAGTAGGCACTCATTTTCTTTTTCTTCTGAAATAACTTTTTTTTGTCCTTTAAGGCTCAACATGATAATTGCCTATTTTATAGAAACTGTCCCTTAATTCAATACCCCCTTTTCCTACATCCAAATTGAATTTAATACCCTTCATTTGTTTCACTACAATTTTGGGAATTCCTCATCTACAGCATTTATTACTCTGTAATAAAAGTGTGTATCTTTGTGCTTGTCTCCACAATTGGATTTTAGGGTTTTACTGGCATTACAGGTAATTCATAATTGTATCCTCCTCATCAAACACAATGATGCATTATAGATATCTAATAAACGAGTGTTAACTTACATCAACTTGAATAGTTGTTTATGGATGAGTTACATATAAAAAAAACTTATAATATTCTATAACAATAATACATTCCAGATATTTACTTCTATCTCTCTCTTCCTTTCCCTTCCTCTCTGAAAACCAATAAAAGTATATTTAAAAACAAACAAACAAACAAAAACTATCAAATAGTACTATTTTAACCCTGTGAGTATTAGAAATTATTTCTCTCCTTCATGCAACCTAGTGTTAAGGTTATCTAGGAGTAAAAGTTGAAAATAGGAGGCCACCATTGCCTTCTCAACTGGGGCCATAATGAGGTCCACCAACTTATAATAGGTGATGGTCTCCTGGATATACCATTGAAACCTCACCAGTATCTCAATGCAACAATCATTAATGAATTCTACTTATGGTCTTTCCATAAACCCTTTCATTTTCTTTCATATTTAAATGTTTAGGTTGAACAATTCACTGATTGTTTATTTTACATGCTTTTTCATACCTTCCACTCAGATGAAACACTGAATCAACTAGAAAAACCATCTCAATGATTTGGCCCACACAACACTAAATATCTTCAACTTTCCAAAATCTTATTCATTCCTAACTGGGATTTGTTTGTGATTGTGTATTTAACCCAGTTTTCGAGGGTTCTCTTGAAGTGCTCAGTGAAAAACAAGGTATATTTTAAAATTAATATGATGAAGAATGTTGCAGATTATATTTACCCTTTAAAGATGTAAAAGGCTCATGAGGATATTAAATACTCTTTTAATAATTCACTATGTCCCACATATCTGTGGACTTTCCCACAACACAAGACCTATTTAGATAATGTTAAACAAGTATTTTGAAGAATGAACTGTGGTAAATACTGGTTAAAACTATTGCCTGTCCAGTTTGGCTTAATGGATAGAGTGTTGGCCTGCGGACTCAAGGGTCCCAGGTTCGATTCTAGTCAAGGGCACATGCCCAGGTTGCGGGCTCCGTCCCCAATAGGGGGTGTGCAGGAGGCAGCCGATCAATGATTCTCTCTCATCATTGATGTTTCTATCTCTCTCTTCCTTTCCCTTCCTCTCTGAAAATCAATAAAAAATATATTTAAAAACAAACAAAAAAACAAAACAAAAAAAAACTATTGAATAGTACTATTTTAACCCTGTGAGTATTGGAAATTATTTCTCTCCTTCATGCAACCTAGTGTCAAGGTTATCTAGGAGTAAAAGTTGAAAACAGGAGGCCATCATTGCCTTCTCAACTGGGGCCATAATGAGATTGTAATATGTTTTGTGTTTTGTTATATGGCTACCTGATCTACAAAAGTTAAACTCTCCTACATTCTCTTTATAATAAAGAATAGAAATAAGAAATTACTATTGTTAGAAATAAATACAAGAAGCAAATTTTTGGAACACTGAATAACTATTACTTAAACCAAAGAAAAACTAAAAACATGTTAAAAATGCTTTCCCTTCTTGCCTTAATTTCTTTGACTTGGTTTATTTTAACTATCCTTTTGTGCTTAACATAATTTGAAATAGACTTTTCTGTTTTCTTGCCCACAATTATGTCTTTATTTATCAAAATTTATTAGTGTAGAATAAGCTGAAAATATACTGGCTTTGGTTTAATGAGTGGACTATTACTATTCAGTTATAATCATAAATATCCCTTTTATTCTAAATTCATTTTATATATTCTACTAAATGCTGAAGAAAACATAATTTCTCCAATAACACATATGTCAAATAGAGTTCATGAATTCTACTTT